CTGATATTATTAATATATATAGCTACTAGTAATACGCCTATTTGATAACCACCTATTTTGAGAAAATTTATTTTTGAAGAGGGGTTGAAGATATTTTTTTCGCTTATCCTATTTTTTTGCAAATTTTAAATTAACCGTTAAGACATCGTATCAATCTACTTATTATTATTATGGATATCAGAAAAGTAATCCCAAAGGTTCAAAGGAGAGCTAAAACAAATAACTTTAAATCGATTCTAGAACAGTTCTTAGAAAAATATGGCTTATCCACTAGTCCACTTCAGAACAATTAAGTGAACATAATAAAGAGCTTGATATATCACTAAAGAATTGAAAGGCCCATAAATATATTAAAGATCTTTTAACCCTGATGCAAATTTAGTAAAGAGAAGATAGAGGCTCTTGTATCAGATAAAAAAAAAGAGAAGTTTACTATAGAGAAAAAGGCAGAATATTGTGCCAAGATGAGTAATAAGTGGGATATTCATCACCATAATATAAATTTAGGACCAAAAAATAATGATAAAAAAAAGTTATAGCAGATGCCTCGTGCTAATATATATCGATTTTGTGAAAAATTAGTGAAAGCTGGAGTGGATCCCAAGATTATTAATACTTATGCCAAAGATCCAAACATTATCTGAAGATCTAATAAAATTCCAAAAAAAGTGTTATCAGCTATGCGAGCTCTTCAATGAAAATAGTTTTTAAAGAACAAAACTAATTATATATATGGGTTAAAGGGTCAGGAGGACTGATTTATCAGTCTGATATTATTTATTAATTTTATTTTTTTGTTCAAGGCAAGATCTAGCATATAAAATATATCACAAAAATGGTAACTGATCAAAATCATTCATTTGATGTATCCAACAAGTGGAAAGTTATCAGATATACAGAAAAATTAGCCCAGTCATTAGAACTAAATAAGCAAAATACAGAGGTGTATAGTGCGCTTTCTGGTGAAAATAGAGCGCTAAAGAAACAATTGAAAGATTATCATTTCCAATATAACATTTTAGAAAAGAAGGTAAAAAGATTAGAAAAAGATGTAAAGTTCTTAGAAACTGAATAGAACCCCGCTTACTACTAAGATAGGTCATCCTGTGGCTTAAGGTAAGATTTACATATAAAACTCTTTGAAGATCCTACTATAAAAGGAAATTTTATGTTACATTGTTATAATTTTTTTCCTTTTAGTTAATTAACCAATAGAATTTAAGCAAATTCTAAGATAAGGTTTTATATGAAAGTGAAATTTCTATCGGTAACATATCTTAGTAGTAGGTGGGGTCCTGACTGAATATCTGGACGAATGTATAGATAGGGAAACTGTGGTTGACTTAATACAAGAAATAGTTCTCTCAATAATTGCTAAAAAAAGATAAGAGTTTCTCTTATTTGTCTGAGTCTTTGAAAAATCTGATTTGGTTGAGATAATTGAGGTAAGAGAAAAAAAAGGATATTTCTTATAAGCAACAAAGAAGGGTGTGATCAAAAAAAGTTAAGATCCTTTGATCAGGATGAAAGCTTTCCAATATTTTATATTAAAATTCCAGAAAAAAATCACTAAACAGTCAGTTAATCTTCTGCAATACTAAAGGTATAAGGGATATTATATTTTACATTTTTTTGTTTGAAGATACAATGTATAATACAGATTATTTATAGCGCAATCAAGCATCTTTTATTTACAATATATTTTACATTTTTTAACGATAGATAAATCAGAACTCCACCTATTACTAAGATATGTTACCGGTAGACATTTTACTTTCATATAAAACCTTACCTTAGGATTTGCTTAAATTCTATTGGTTAATTAACTAAAAAAGAAAAAAATTATAACAATGTAACAGAATTCTGGACAATTATAATAGAGGTCATATCTGTAATACTAATAAAAATTTAAAAAAAATATACATAAATTTAGTCATTTTATTATACATTTTTATCCTATAATTTTTATATAATACTAAAATATACTTTTTTATCATATGACATTAATATATATTTATGTTAAAAATTTTTTTTTATTTATGGTATATCAATATCATATATGTTAATCATCTTTAAAATAGGGTAAATTTAGATATCACCTCTATATAATGTTTAAAATTTAGCAAATCAATAAAATACACACTGTTTTATCAGGTAAAATTTATGCCATATGATAAAATTTTATGATAACTATGTTATTTACAAGATCAAAATAAATATCAATTTTACAACAAAAAAACTATGTGTAAAAATCCCAAAATTTCCAAAGATTAAAATAAAAATTATCAAATCTATTACTAGAAATCAAAAGCAAAAATTGCCATCAAAGATCAAAAATAAGTTTGCTAAAAAATTAAGAATGAAAGTTATACCACTAAAGAAGTACAAAATTATTGCCAAGATATGAAATCCAAGTACTTTTTAAGCTGAAATTTGGATTTTCCTAAAAAAAAGAAAGAAAAAAATAAAAGCTAATTACCAAAGTTTGAGGTCCTATAATTGCAAAATTCATGCCAAGGTCTATAAAAAAAAAAGTAAATTAATAATGTTTTAAAATCAAAAAATGTTAAAATGAGAGACATTTATTGCAATTTTAATGTCCTTAAATAAAAAAATAATGCCAAAACAAAAAAGAGAAAAGAACTCAAATCCACTTGTAACTTTAAGGTTTCTTGAAGTTCGAGTTTACTCTAAAAAAAAAGAATATTAGTAAGGTTTATAGACAAAAAAACGCAAAAATAGTAAAAAAAATTGAGAAATAATACCTTCATACATTCTTCATACTTATAATTTCAAAAATCTGTACCAATATCCAAAATGTTTTGTCATAAAAAAAGAAAAGGAGAAAGAATATTATATATTTTAAGTAACAAACGTAAAAATAATGAAACTTCCACTATTCCTATTTATGATTTTAGACTTTATGCTATTAATACTATTCTAAAAAGAGGAGAGGAGAAAAAAAAAATTTCAAAATAAATTTTTTTCTTCATGCGTCGCAAAATCAAGATTTTCACCAATGAAAACCCGTAATGTAATAAGTGATATTATCACAAGTACGATAAAAAGCAAAATACTAACTGTTAAAATATATATTTTTATAATAAATCTATATATGACCTTGAATTTTTATCTGAAATTTTATACTTTTTTTTACTATAACCTATTTTTGTAATATATTATTTTTGCATATAACATTTTTTTAAAATATACATTTTTTCATATAACCTGCTCATTAAAAATACAAAATTTTATACTTATTTTACATATGACTCCTATTATAATTATCTGGAGTCCTAATGTAACATAAAATTTCCTTTTATAATAAAATCTTCAAAGAGTTTTATATGTAAACCTTACCTTAAGCCACAGGGTGACCTATCTTAATAGTAGGCGGGATCCTGATAAATTCCTCTATCACACTTTATTTGTTTCCCGATTGTGGTATAGATGCGGTGCTCACATTTTATGGAAATGCATCAACTTAAAGGAAAATGGCTATTATCGTGCAAAGAATCCCCTTCAATTGAAAAAATTTATAAAATTAGTATGTAAAAAGAAACAACTAGTTTATAGCTTAAATCTAACTCATCTTGAAATTTCATACTACCATCCACTTTCCAATAAAAAAATTAATAATATTGTGCATTTATTTTTAAATATAATTCATTTGGATTTTGGAAAAAGTACAGGATATAGTAATAAAATGCTAAATCAAATAGCAGAATCATATCCAAATCTAAAGTATCTCAATTTGGAAAAGAATAAGTATGTAAGCAGTCATGTTGAAATAATAACTGATAAAGGCCTGTTTGCTTTAGCAAACGCATGCCGTAAATTAGAATATCTAAATATTTCTTACCACATAGAGATTACCAGAACATCAATTTCTAGTATTATTCGTTCTTGTCCAAGATTTTAGGAACTCGTCCTTAATTTTTGTAGAATTACTAATGTGATTATCAGATAAATTGCTTGTTTATGTCTTAATTTAAAATATCTTGATCTGGAGAGTGTTATAATATTAGCAAAGAAGCTGTAGATCAGCTAAATCGAAATATACACGTTGAGAATTTTGTGATGCCTCCTGATTTTATTGGAATAGTTAGAAATCATCTTACACTTGCTAGTTTAGCTCAGATGCGCAAGCAACATAGAGTTGGTGAAAGAATATTAGCACCAGAATGGGTATTCACTCTACCTATCTAACTAATTTGAATCAGTGATTGGTTCACAAGATGGTAATTAGCAAAAAGGCTTATTGTTGGTAAAGGCAAAAAAATTATGGATCAGTTTTATGACTATATCTTAGATGTCAGTCTTAAGGAAAGAAATTATTTTTATGTAATCTTCGGTGGAATTCACTCTGGGGGTTTAAAATTTCATGTGTGAAGATAATTCTTTACCTCTATATTTTATATCACGTAGAACAAACTTGGTAATAGCATAATTAGTATCTAATTTCAGGTATACATGAAACTGAAATTAGTTAATTTTGACCTCCAAAATGGTCAAATGGTCAAAATGATTTCAACTTGAACCCCTTCAAAAGTTGAAATGGTCGAAATTACGTCATAGGTCATAGTCATATGATTTTATAGTAAACAATAATATTAAAATTCAACGTTGACGAACTCCGCATCCAGTGATTCGATTTTTATGATCTTTACGCTGTTGGATTCAGCTCATCAAGAGGATTCCAATGATATGTATTTCATATTTGTAGCATTAATATTGACGGGGTTATTCACGTTTAAAATTTGGTATTAAATAGTCTTATAATTTTTATAGTAAACAATAATTTTAAAATTCAAAGTTAACGATCTCCGCATCCAGTGATTCGATTTTTATGTCTTTACGCGGTTGGATTCAGCTCATCGAGAGGATTCCAATGATATGTATTTCATATCTGTAGCATCAATATTGACGGAGTTAATCACGTTTAAAATTTTATATTAAATTATAATTATAAAAATCATATGACTATGATGTAATTTTGACTATTTCAACTTTAATTTCGACTTTTGACCTTCCCAAGTTGTAATATTTCTACTTTTGGGCTTTAATTTTGACTTTATGTATAATTCCAGGTTTGTCAGTTGATAATTAATTTTCTCTTTAAGCCCATACATTCTTACCATTAAACTGAATCTTTCAGCCATACTTTTCATATTCCGTTCCAATTCCACAATTGACTTTTGATAATGTTCATCTTTAATCTTGTCTTTGTAGTATTGTACAATATCTTCAAGATTCGCATAAGTTAACCATAAATGCTGTACTAAATTGACTAGTGTTACCCAAAGATCATTAAGTTCATTTTCTGGCCCTATATTAAGCACTGAATCCCGGTTTATCTTAATTTTTGGATTAAGTTTGCTCAATGCATCTTTACTAACATTTGTCGACTGTATGCCAAGAAATTCCAAACTAGAACAATGTTGCACAATTTCATCAATGACTATATCAGTAGCTAGACGGCAACACCTGATATCAAGATATCTTAAATTTTTACATGAATATATAATATTACAGATAGTTGTGTCAGAAGCATCAGAAGTATCGATATCAAGATGTTTAAGCTTTGGGCAAGAGTTAGCAGTATTACAAATAGATGAATCAGTAATAAATCTACACTGATCAAGTTCAAGGTATTCTAAATTATGAATATGTTGCAACAATCTATTAACTGAAATGTCTGTAATATTATGACAACATTTCAAAGAGAGATGGCGAAGATTAGGACATGAGTGAGCTATTACATCTATCGTCTGATCAGAAATTAGCTTATACCATTTTAATCCACCAATGCATAAAAGTACTAATTTAGAATATGCTTCTACTATTTTATAAACGAAATTATTAGTGATATTTCCACAGAAACTAATATCAAGATGACATATTTTGTGGTATGATTTTGCAATTTTATATATGGAGTGGCCAGTTATATCTTAGTTATCACAGATATTGAGAGATTCTAAGTTGGGATAAGATCAAGCAATTTCTATAAGTGATGCTTTCACTTTGTTCAAAATTTAAACTGGTTATATTTGGGTATGAACGTAGAACACAGAGAATTTTATTATCTGAGAGTCTAGAATAATGTATAATTTTAAGACTTCTTAGGCTTAAAGTATAAGATGTTTTCTGTTTATTACATGCTGACTCTAAAAAATTTTCCAAAAGAGTAATATTCTCACCAAAGACGGATAGTTCGTGATTGTAATCTGATGTTCTATCTCCTACAAACTCGAGATGTGTAACTTGTTTATTACTAGTATTAATCTTATTTTCTTTTATTTCAGATGTCATTTTTGTCAGTTATAATAATATATATATTCAAAATGGAAAACAATTTCTCAGGAACTACGTTATCTATACTTCTTCGCAGTAACTGAGGTGCTTTACAACTACCTCAGCCGTACTGCCAAAATTTTGCATACAGGCCACATTACGGTAGTATGCACTAACACATGAAAATAAACAGTGACGAATAAGGTTTTACCTACTCGAAAAAAACAAGTCCCTCAGATAAATATAAACAGTGAAACTTACTCAGATGGGGTGTGATGATATGATGTATAAAAAGCAATCATGTTACTGTGCAAAAATTGCCAGTGCGACTGGGCTAGTTGGTGTTTTACATGATCGATCATCAGCTTGAAAAATTTTGCTAAATCACACGCATGTATTCTTATGTGACAAAAATAAGTAGATCACTAGGACTCCACTTATTTATAATAAAGGTTACTGTAGAAAATTGGCCCTTTACTAATAGTTTTTACCTTACTTTTTTCTTAAATTCTATTAGTTAATTAGCTAAAAAGGAAAAAAATCATAATAATGTAACATAAAATTTCCTTTTATAGTAAGATCTGCAAAGAATTTTATATATGATTTTTACCTTAGGCCTGGGGGTGACCTATCTTATAAATAAACGGGTTCCCAAAAAACCCGCTTACTTATAATAAAGGTCACTGTAGAAAATTAGCCCTTTACTAATAGTTTTTACCTTATTTTTTTCTTAAATTCTATTGGTTAATTAGCTAAAAAAGAAAAAAATCATAACAATGTAACATAAAATTTCCTTTTATAGTAGATCTGCAAAGGATTTTATATATGATTTTTACCTTAGGCCTGGGATGACCTATCTTATAAGTAAGGGTCCTGTTCTGAATCACTAGACAAGTTTGTGTGACAGCCGTTAAGGCGCTAAAGCATATTAATTTTTGCATATCTAATACAGTCATCCTCCCATATAATCACACCCTTCAGGACTATAAAAAAATGGTGTGACTATAAAAATTATATTGGGATTAATTAATGTAAATGTGCTTATAAGGGAGTTGTGATTATACAGGGGGTGACTATATGAAAAGACGACTGTATTTTAAAAACGTTGTCGTCACGTGGTGTCATGTTTAGATTACCCGTATAAATAAATCATTTGAATTGTGTAACCCTACTCCTATTCGTCCCAATGTTACACAAGTACACAAGACCAAAAAAGGAAATTCTTTTAATTCTGGCCGGAATTATAACATTATTTTACATTATTTTAATACATATTAACCGTTGACGTAGTCAACGGGTGAATACTAGTATATTTGAAAAAGAGATCATATTAACCTTTGCTCTTTATTTTTCCCCAAACAAATGTGAGAAAATGTGAAAGGAGGTCTAGTTGCAACACAGGACCTACTGTAAAAGTAAATATTAACGTCAAAAGCATATGTTATGAAGGGCTGAGGACTTTGTAATTTCGAGATCCAAGAACTAACTACCTTTGCGTCTCTCCGGTAGATCTACATGTGAAAAGGTATGAGGATTCCGTTTACATGTGCTTTCATGAAGCTCTTCAACATATATTACGATACCTAATCTTGTCCATACTCCCCTTTTTCTCGTTTCGTTCAATTAATAAATAAATAAATAAATAAAATATTGATTCTCAACATATATTAGTATACCCCTCGTTCATAATTTTCAAAAAATGTCAGAAATGTCAGAATATTATCACGGCTATACATGTAAGTTCTAATTACACAAAGACTCAACTTATCCCCTTAATATTCTCTTTTTGATGCTTACTAACCAACCCTCTCTTTAGCCATTTGTTCTTACATAAGAAATCGTAACGAGACTTGTTCCTTTCACGAGTTCATAGACCTTTACCAGGAAATGATTATACATTCCCCACCAAACACTGATGACTGGAGTGGTTTAGAAACTGCATGGGAAATGAGATTCCTAAGAAGCGTAAAAGATATTATTCCTTAAAAATACGATGATATACATTCAAAGGTTTTATTTATTATACCTTTTTTTCTAATATAAATAAAAAGGAGCTCTTAATCGGTGATCGGTTGATTAAGGGTATTCGGTGATTGGCTGGCCCAAGTGATAGTGGTTGCGCTCCTGAGTTGGTGATCGGTTGACTTTGGAGTATCTGGTGATCGGCTGGGCGCCATCATTGCGTTTTGTATGGGCTTCACTATGATGTGATATTCACAAAGATATTTTTACTAATTAATTATTTTCTATAATAGGTGAAATCAGAAACTTCGAATAAGTCTCTAATATTATTGGCAGAATATAATAAATGAAAAAGGACAAGTAAATCAAGATTATTCAAATTTTGCTTGCTCTATTACTGGTACATTTATTGATTTCATTCATTATATTTTGATAAACAGAAATCCGTAATCAATAATCACATTTCCGGAAGTCTAAAAATATTGGACGCCACGGCTAAATATAATACAAATACGATCGTTTCGAAAGTTTTGAATCCTCGAGAAATAGATACGGATGCTTCATCACCAAATGAACGTTTAAAGGTGTGCATTTTTTGCTAGAAGTTGTGTGAATCGACAAAATGTTGGCTGTCAGATATTAACTCTTTCTTTGTATTTAGTCTGATGAACATTTCATGCCTGTCCGTGAACCAAAGCGGAAAAAGCAGTCTATTTCGAAAAAGGTTAGCATATAACAATAAAAGTCCTTTGATATAAAATGTTGCCTTGAAATCTATGCGACCTTGTTTTTAATGACTACTTTGATATCTATAGAATAAAGAATCTAAGGAACAAGCTAACTCCAAGATGGTTAGTATGGAATGCATCCCTGTAATGATAAAGATTTGTTTACAAAATTTATTTCTGTAGGACGAGGTCGATGTTTTTTTCCAAAGTCCCTCACAAACGGAATGCAATGACGATGACAACTCTCGAAAGATGAATGTGTATGATTACGAAAAATATGAAAAATCTTATGCTAAATTGGATGATTCCAATAAGTGGGTACTCACAACCGCACATATTACAGCACCTGTGACTTGCATGTCCGGCAATATCTGTTATAGTGTAAAAAAATAGTGTACTGAAAACAGCCGAAAGGCGCTTTGCTTATATTAATAAAGTTTAGCCAGTTCGGCCATTTATTTTTTTAATTGATACATGATTAGCTTGAAATGATTTTTGATCGATACTAACACCACATAATTAGCGGATATACATGTCCAAAAATATTTGATCGATACCTAATTAGCGGACATGCATGTCCAAAAATATTTGACCGACACTGCCACCACCTAATTAGCGGACATGCATGTCCAAAAATATTTGATCGATACTAACACCACATAATTAGTGGATGCATGTCCGGGATTCCTTGGTACTGCGCCAGGATTACTGCACCTCTGTCGTCTAATTTTCCCAGAATATAATTAGCCGATCATCTCATGACTTATAGAAACTCGCCTGCTCCTGGAACTCTCCTAGAACTATCAAGGAACTGGCAGGGAACTAGGGAGATCACATGTGATACAAATTTTAGTTTAGTGATCGGATCTAATTTAGCCAATATGAATGTGTTTTTCATCCTGAACAAGGACATAATCAAATAAAAAATGAATTTGGATTTACTAGCATATAGTCTCTCAAATCGGCTACAAATCAACTAATCGCTAATCAGTAAATCTGTATAAATTTGAATGGTGATATTATCTAGTATAAGTTGCTAAAGAATTGCAAGAATTCATTAAAAATACTATAAAACTCTGAAATTGCTATAAATCTCTAATTTACTAATAATTATGCCTGGTGACATGGTTAAAATCATTATAGATAGGGTTTATAATAAAATTGTACCTAAGCCTATCAATCTCCACCCTGAATATGATATGGAACATGTTTTTAACTGTCGACCTCAAACTGATAACTATTGGTATGAAAAAGTGGTTAAAATAGAAAAACAATATGATTATTTATCTATTATTAGACTCATGAAACTTCCCAGCAATGAACTAATCGTGTAAGAGGTTCTCTGCAAGAACTACTTTTTAAGCGAAAATATAGTTCATATCATGTGTACTGCCTTTTCACTTCATTTGGGCAATTAAAATCCAAAACATACTATGTTAATGGAGCATAGCGGACATGCTTTTATCACTTTGCCGATCATTTGTTGATCATATAATATATCATGTCACATTAATTTTGAAGCTATGGTTAAAGCCATAAAATTCTTAGCCAAACTATACTAATGTCTTTTTAGTAGTATAATTTATGAAAAATAAAAAAAATTATATTGTTAAAGTTAACCTTAAACCAAAATTTTAATAATTTGATATTTGCCTTTATTTGCCGATCATCTGCTAATTTGACTTTGGAGCTTCGGGTGAAGCCACAGATTTACGGGCGAAACTTGAAATTTTCAAAATATATTATTTAGGTATTCAAGAATCAATGGCCAAAATAATCATGTAGAATTTTAGGTAATCAAAAAGTTATCATTGAGCAAATGTTTATGAATATTATTAAAATACACATATAGACAAAATTTGTAAAACTTTATTAACTGTCTAAAGAATTTTTTTTGATAAATTTAATATGCAGTAAATTTAAATGAATGTTAAATTATCTGTAAAATTATTATTATGTAGGATTTTCAACTAAAGTAATTATAACGAAGTGATAAAATTGAATAAATAATCGACAAATGATCGACAAAATTGTGATAAAGTAAAGATGTCCGCTATGCTTGTTAATGGTGAGTTATATGAAGATCACTTCTGCTATCGTAGACTTAGTGTTTATAAGAGCCAAATGGCTATCTGTTTCAAATGCTGGAAATTGGTAAAGATTACTGAAGTAGAGTCTAGAAAGGAATATTATAGTGGTTGGGAAAGATGGGCCTATGAAGTTGAGTCCAAAGATCTGATGAAGAATCATTGGTATAATTTATATTCTAAAGTGATTATACAAAGTACTCCAAATTTCGAGCCAGCTTATATTCCACCTTCCGGGTAAGAAATGATTTTACCAACTTCTTATCAATTATCAAATTGTAGCAGTGATACAGGCAAATTATTTATATTGTCTCTATCAGTAGTTTAACTAACTGATTCTGACTATTTCTTTCAGCTGAAGATTAATATCATATATTATATATACTTTATTTTTTTGCATAATGAATGGTTATATAATCTGCATGCATGATCACCACAAGTCAAATAAAGGGCTATCAGATGATTTTCAATCACCTGATAGCCCTATGTTTTTCCATCAATTCTACTTTGAATAGAATCTGGTAGGTCTATATGAAATTTAACCGATTTTTGGCGTAAATTAGGGATAAATAATATGGCTATCAGATTAGAGAATATCGGGTAAGTTTAATGCCAAAATCAGGAGGAATCTAAGCATCCCGATATGACTATAATATTCTGATAAATCAGGTGTATATCATTTGAATATCAGTTGTAAATCGTATATTGATAAAATCACGAAAATTTAATTTAAATAAATATAGTATTTTATTTTACAATTAAATATTACATAATAAATAAATTGCTACATTATATTCAACTTTTGTTATTACAAATACAAAGTAGTAAGTTTAAATCTTGCTTGATTCTGATTTATTTATTTCATTTATATTATAGAATCTACTTGAAAAAAAAATTAAAATAATTATTAATAAACTAATTATTATAAAATATTAACGAACAAATAAAAAACTTACTTGGTAAAATAAAAAAATATTTATTATTTGGACTGGTAGGAAGATAAAATAGCCCATTCTGGAGCATTACGAGGTGGCTTGGAATTATCTATGTACATTTGATTATCATACCATCATTTCCTTACTATTTTTAAGTTCTAAGTGGCTTCACTTACTTCATCAGCACATCGCAAGAGAATCCGCAACTAAAAAGTTCAATTATGTAAATAATTGAAAAAAATACAATGTAATAATTCAGCATATGTCTCATCCTTTGCGATCTCCACCTCTTATCATATACATGAAGAACGTGATTCGTATTTTCGTTTCTAGATGGACAAATCTTTATGTTTTTCTCTTCTTAAACTTATGTGAAAGGAAAAAATGATATCGTAAAGTGTTAGTATTTCAATGATAGTAGCAACTATTATATGCAGAAAACACAAACCTTCTTCTTCATCTATTTCTGAAACTTCGTCTGAATGGTAATTTGAATCATTAATGATTTTTCTTAAATCTTTGATCAAATTGCTAAATTCTAAATCCGTGAGCATTTGATCTTTGGTATTTATTATACGCTTCAATCCTCTTTGACATCTTTCCTTTTTCTTTGCAACAAAAATAATATAAATACATAAAATGTTAGTAAGATATAAGACATCTCAAATTTGCAGAATATCTATTTAACTTGATGATAATATTCAATAAAGAGCACCATCATCCTATTTCAAACCTAAAGTAAAGTTGTACTTACATCTTTCCTTCTACTGTTTATACCTGTTCTTTGTCTATTTGCTTTTTGTTTCTGAGGATTCAATAACAAAATGTAGGTGTCTCTTTGGTGACGATGATAATTCTGAAGAACTTTCTTCAATTCTGTGTCAGTGTAGTGAAATCTTTTACCAAACGCTCTCTTTATAGCCAGAATTACATTTTGAATCACATATATCTTGATGTCAGTATACCGATTCTTATAGTCTAACTGTAAAGAGGCATCCAAGCTTTTTAATATGTTGACAACATCATTCTATTATAGATAGAAGAGAAGTAAGTTAAGTAAATTACTTAAAAACTATACAACTTGAGCGCAATAATACAAATACTGATCCAGAAAATTTTTTTGTAATCTTTATTCATAGGTTCTAAATTATTCCAAGCTTTTTTGATACTTGCTGAAGTATCAGGTGATGCAAAAGGTATTCTTGTTTGACTTCTATTCCTGTGAAGTTCTTCGATTTTGTCCATCAATTCCATCACAATTGAATGTAACTCTGTAATTTCTGATTTAAATAAAAATTAATGTTAATTATTTTCAAATTTTTTCATTATAAAATTCATTCATACACAATTTCTTTTTTATAATAAATTACCTTCTTGATTTTGAATTTCTCTACTTTCATTCCTTTTGTGCTTTTTCTCCCTTCCATAATCTCCACTCATGTCTCTTTCTTTTTCTCATTCCCTATTGTAGCGTTCTCCACTCACGTTTCTTTCTCTTTCTTGTTCCCTATTGTAGTGTTCTCCACTCACATCTCTTTCTCTTTCTCATTCCCTATTGTAGCGTTCTTCTAATGAAGGAGGATTATGCGGAGTTCGACTTCTGCCTCTTTCATGTACCGACTTTTCTTTTTCATGTAAGTTATTCCCGCAAGACCCTGGATAATTATAATAAAGGTCATATACAAAAAAAGTATATTTTATTGTATTTTTAATGAAAAGGTCATATGCAAAAGCGGGTATTTTAAGTAAAAGTCACATGCAAAAATAGAATACTTCTGAATTAGGTCACAGTAAAATAAGTATATAATTTTATGTAAAATTTTAAGGTCACATGTAATTTTTCTAATAAAGCGTATATTTTAGGGGGAATATAGTGGGGAATATAATATGCAGTAGTGTTACATCAAATTTAATATAAATAGCAAATTTTGCTTGAGATAATTTTATCATAATGATAACGTAATAAATTTATATTCAAAAAGTTCATTTTTTTATCACAATGTAATATAATTATTTAAATTTATTAAATTTATTTGCTTTTCATGTCAGATAAATTTACCAGAGATTCAATATGATTTACCATTAATTATTTTTAAAATGTTAAGACTTAAGACACGCGTTTTCGTGTTTTAATTTTTGTCTTTAATGTCATTATATATCAATACAAAATGAAATATTTTGAGAAACTTTTAAACATTAATACTTTCTACAATTCCACCTCCTAATATTCATTCTGTTCATGTTTCAAATATTAATATATCTGATATCTTTTCTATTACTTTTGATACTCCTTATGAGACTCTTCTACCGTTAGCCAAAATTGATAATACTGCTGAAAAGATCCTTTATTTGCAATATTCACATTTAACTTTCACAGCTGTCTTTTCTAATGGGGGTTGTTTATTAAACCTTAGCATTACAATTTAGACTATGATTTTAGAATTAATGAAATTTTCAGGAAATTGTGAAAATTTCACTGAAAATATGGGATTTTTAATCGTAGGAAAAAAAGAAATAATAATCTATAATTTTTTAATTCAGCTATAGATAAATTACAGTTGATTATTTTTACAGAGTCAATTGATGATAATGCTGTATAATTTTAATATAAAATAAAATTTTGACCTATTTTTTAGTAAAAAAATTATATTGATGTCATATGATAAAAAGGATATTTGTAGTACAAAATAAGGTCATATGATAAAAATGTATATCAAAATGTCAAAATTTATGTATATTTCATTAGATTTTTAATTAGTACTGCGGATGTGACCTCTATTATAATTATCCAGGGTTCTATTCGAACTGTCTCAACAAGACGATTCCAACGAGCTATTGATTGGATTTTTACAATCACTGGATAGCGAGTTATTGCATAAAACGAATTTTGACTAATTAGAAAAGAACTAAAAAATGGAACTAAACTGAACTGTTCAGAGCTTTAAAATTTACATTTGGAATTTTATCAGGCTTTATTGCTCGAAATGTAATATTTTTATAATACGGCTTGGAGCTATTAGCAATGATTTAATAACAATCCCAGAGGTATAAATATTTCAGTTCTTTAAGGTGATGTCCAAATAAAATAAGATCATACTTTTTTTATATACCAATTCCCTTTCTTTTTTCCATTGAAAATTCGGTAAAGTTTATTGCCAAGCAAGAGATTAATGATCATATTTGTTTTTTCTGAATTGCTCTGATCACATACTAGTAATTTGAATATAATAAATTATAATTTTATATAATTAAAATTAAAATTAAAAATTATTATTATATAGTTTAGTCAATAACAAAACTGAAACTAGTTGGTGATGAATAAGGTTGCTTGTCTAAACCTCTTCAAAATCCTACGATTAGTTTCATCAAAATTTTACTATAGATTTATTATAGTTTCGGCAGAGTTTTGGCAGTTTCGGCATTTATAATAAGTTTTGGCAGTTTCGCCTTTCTCCAAAGTTTTACCAGTTTTTTAATATAACTTTAATATAGTTTCGGCAGAATTTCGCTTTTCGGCGAAACGCCATCTTGCCTAAACCCCTAGGTTTCGGCAAGCAACCTTAGTGATGAAACTGAAATTTTTGGCAAAAAAAGTTTAGGCAGGTATCACTAAGTATAAAATAGTTTAATTTTAGTTAAAGAAAAATAGTTTTTCAATAGTCTAATTGAAACAATAGAAATTAATCAGTAAATTTAAACTGAACGATAGTTATTAATCAGATATTAACCTAATTAATACCTAATTGAAGTGTAACCAATTTTTAACTATTAAATAAATCAGATAACTGATCAAAAAAAAGTTACTAATCAGATAAATACCTGATTGGTCAGTGTTTTACTTATGTTGTAATTTTGGCTGATACTATAAGTTCAGCTTGAATTAACAGTAGAATTGAAAAGACTGAAAAACTGCAGTTTGGTCTTAAAACTAGCAGTTCTGGGATTGAGTAAGACTGGTAGGACTGATGACATCTTTACTGATTGAGTATTTTTACCAAATACCATTACTAATCAAATAATTTGCTAACTTTTGACAGGATTTGCTTATTTATAATAAAGGTCACTGTAGAAAATTAACCCTTTACTAATAGTTTTTACAGGACCCCAGAAAATGCTTAGTATATATGTAAGGTACTAAGGTGCTTAGGCAACATAGAAAAATTTTATGATGTAAGAATTTTATAATGCTTAATTTTGAGAAAATTTTATACTATGTAAGATAATTAAATTGCATATTTTTGGTATTATTTTAAAATACTAAGAGTTTTTAGTTGCTTATTTTTCATATTTATAGAACTTTTTAAAATATTATATATTGAATTTATAATTAAATTTTATTTTATTTTCACTAACGGTAAGTGTTAATTTTGTATTATATTCCACAATTTTGTATAAATACACAAACAAAAATTTTTTTTTTGATGAAATTTCAGTTTTTTTTTTCAATGTTTTATTAATTATCTTTCAATAGTATCTTTTTAATTTTTATTAAACTCAGTGTATTATTTTTAATATAAAATTACTATATTATATATGTTTATTTTGTTTAAATAAAATTAAAATATAATTTCACTACTCACTATTTTGGTTATATCAAATTATATTGTATGCTTAAGTAAGGTTGTTCAGCAAGTTAAATCTACTTGTATTTTAATTTTCATAAGGCTAAATATGATATTTATATAGAAAAGCATATTTTTTATAATGATAATAACTTTTAAATTTTTCACTTTTTTGTTTACAACTTCAGAGCGTAATTACACCACTTCAGTCAAATGAAATCGACTTTCTAAATTAATTGATAGTTGTTCAGCAAGATCGAAACTACTTATATATTAATTTTCATGAGTGTGAGTATAATACTTATGGAGAAAAGTGCATTTTTCATAACAGTACTAACTTCTGAATTTTTTATTTCTCCGTTTATAACTTCAGAGCGTAATTATACCCCTTTGGTCAAATGAAATCGACTTTCTAAATTAATTGAAAATTGTTCAGCAAGGTCGAAACTATCTTTATATTAATTTTTATAGGTGTAAGTATAATACTTATGGAGAAATTTACATTTTTTGTAATAGTATTAATTTTGGATTTTTCTTTTACTGTTTATTAACTTTATTAATTGAATATTGTTAATCTACTTGTATATTATGTTTAGTTTAGCTTCACAACATATTTAAAATTGGATTTAATAAAATATATTAATTAATAAATATATGTTATAAATTATATGTGTTATAATAAAAATTTAATTAGGTTAGAAGATTGATTTATATAATTTTTAAGGTTAGATATCAACAATGCTTAGCGATTATAGTAAAAACCTATATCTTAGAGCTACTAATAAAAAAAATTTTTGGAACCTTACTTATATAAGTATTTTCCAGGGTCCTGTTTTTACCTTACTTTTTTCTTAAATTCTATTGGTTAATTAGCTAAAAAGGAAAATTTATAACAATGTAACATAAAATTTTCTTTTATAGTAGGATCTGCAAAGAATTTTATATATGATTTTTATCTTAAGTTTAAAGTTGATCTATCTTATAAATAAGTAGGGTCTTCTTTTGATTCAATGATCAGAAAAGGATGAAATATAACTTATTGGAATCATCTCTACAAGATGAATCTAATGGTAGTAAAATTGTATTTTTAAGGTTAATAGTTAATAGGAAATTAAATAAAATATAAATACAGTCAACTCTCTTTATAGTCACACATTTGGGACAGTCCATATTTGGTGATTATAAAGAGATGTGACTATATAAAAAATTTCTTATATTAGTATATCATAATTCCTGCCAAAAATTAACATAATTTTTGCCAAAATTATACTTAAAACTTTATTGTATCGTAACTCCTCCAATATTAATCGTAGAGAGATGATCTTACCGCCATTCGATTCGTCTTGATGAGACGGTTCTAATGG